GAGAATAAGGTGGTTCTTTGACTGGCCTCAAACCAGATCCCTGAAAAGATTTTAAAAGCCTGCAATGAAATAATGGATGAACTTGCCTGAGGCTTCTTGGCAACTTCAGCTCCACCATCACCAGATTTATGATCCAGACGATGTGGAAAGGCCCTAACTTTTTGTACTTTTGCCACAGGTTTAGATATCTGGTGGACAAATACACTTTATCCCCCACTTTAAACTCTCACTGGGGGGCTCTTATGATCTGCTTGGATCTTTTGACTTTCCCTAGCCTTTTTCAGTGCCTCATACACAGTGGGCCACATGGTTTTTAACATATCCAACAAATCAGCTAATGACTCTGAGAATGGGACTATAAACTCGGGCCCCATGGCCACTTTGAAAGGGATAAAACCTGTGCTCTGTGCACAGAGTTGTTCTTTGCCACCAATGCGAAAGGCAGGAGTTTGGCTCAATTAGTTTGCTAATAATTTACATAGCAGCACAAGTATTGTTCTACTAGTGAGTTGGCTTGTTCAGCAGCCCTATTAGTACTCGGATGATAGGTGGAGCTAAGCCCCTGAGAGGAGCCATCATTTTCAAGAATTCCCACCAAAACTTTGTGGTGAACTGCAGCGCTCTGTCCAAGATAATGCACTTCGGGACCCCATGTAGTCAATAGATGTATTGCACAAACATCTTGGCTAATGTCCAGGCTGAAGGAATCTTTGGACACACTACAAAGTGAGCTTTCTTCGAAAACAGGTCAATGACAGTCCAGATTACTATGCTCCAAGCATTCTCAGGCAAGTTCACAATAAAGTCCATGGATTTCTCTTCCCATGGCTTAGCTGGGTTGGCTATCGACTGTAGCAACATTGGAGGCTTTCCAGATCGGTACTTCATGGAGGCACACACAGGGCAAGTAGTCATATAGGCCTCTAGGTCCTTTTTCATTTTTGGCCACCAAAATTGTCTTTTTATCAAATGAAGGGTTTTTACGAATCCAAAATGCTCTGAGGGTTTTGCATCATGGCTCCTCTTCATGACTAAGAATCTCTGGCTGACTGGGATGTACAATTTATTTCCCTTCCCTTTGATATCAGGTCATTTTTATGTCTCTGGAACTATCTTTTAACGATTGCATCAACAATTCTCCTGCCGGTTGCAGAAAGGCTGTTCTCTGCTGCCTTGTAAGCGCTGGTGCTGCAAACTGCCTGAACGGGATGATGGAGTTAACTACTTCCTCTCGGGCACTTCTGTACTGGGGCTTGTAAGAGAGGGCATCTGCTAGAAAGCTCTTTTCCCCCAGCAAATAGCGAAGGGTGAAATTGAAGTGGTTAAAACACTAATACCATGAGACCTGCTTAGGGGATAGCTTCCTTGGGGTCCTTAATACCTCCAGGTTTTTATGGTCCATCCACACCTTGAAGGAAATCTTACTACCCTCCAAAAACTGCCTCCAGGTCAGAAGGGCCCAACGGATGGCATAAGCCTTTCTCCCAGATGGCCCAATGCTGCTCAGCATTGGATAACGTGCGAGACGTGTAGGCACAGGGTTGCAGCTCCTCCTTTTTGTTCCTTTGGAGTAAAACTACCCATACTGTCACATTGCTGGAATTTGCCTCGATTACAAAACACTCATCTGGGTTTGTGTGCTTCAAGACTTGGTCTGCAGCAAAATAGCTACTTTAGCTTCTCAAAAGCCATTTGGCATTCAATGGACTAGTTTAGTGGTTAATTCGATTTGGACTTCACTCCCCCCCCCCCATCTTCAGCAAGTTGGTAATGGGCAGGGGTATCTGGGCAAATGTGGGAATGACTTGCCAGTAAAGTTCATGAATCCCAGGATACTCTAACTGTTTTCTGGTTCAAGGGCCTCCCATTCTAGAATTGCTCTTGCCTTACCTTGGTCTATTTCTACACCATCTTTGGAGATGCAATACCACAGGTAGTCTAAGTCGTTCTTGTGGAAGTTGCATTAGGATAGTTTCACGTATAGCTGGGTTTTCTGCAACTTCTCAAGTACTGCTGTCACCAGTTTTTCATGTACACTCGGGCTGTCTTGGGGATGATGGTGCCACTTATCATCGGGTCATCTTCCCCTGCGCTGTTGCTCTCATAGAAGACTAAGCCTGGCTTGTCATGGGTTGGAGTTCTCTTCTTTTCACTGGATTGGGAGACACCTCTACAACCTGTTGGGCCGCTCATGTCTTCTCCCTTGTTCTCACTGGAGATTTTTCCAGCTTTGCTTGGGCTGGGTTGAGGTGTCGATTCTGGGTGTGGCATGGGGCAATCGGCTCCCACATCAGAAACATGCTCTCAAGCTGTAGTGGAGCTTTTTCCCTTTGGAAGGGATTGCCTCTTTTCTCTTTCCATGGGGTTCTGGGCATCATCTGGGCATTTGGTGGGACCATCTCTCATCCGTTACATGTTCCTGGTACTCCATCAGGTTGAGCTCCATGTTTGTGGCCACGCTCGAAGGTTGCCTGGTACTTCCTGGGGCAGGCAGTTGTGATACATCTCCTTGCTCAGCTCCTTCTGGAATTGGTAGACTAGCATACGTTTGGGCCAATTTCTGAGGCAAGCTGTCAGGCCATGGAAATCTCGGATGTACTATGCTACTGGTCATTTCCCCTGCTGTAGGGATTGGATGCAGATTTCTGCATGTTGGACCACTGTATGTTCCTCAAAGCTGTCTCGCAATGCCTGCACAAAAGTGTCCAAGTCTTACAACTTTGGAACCCCCTTGTCATAGAGAGATACCAGCCATTCCACACACACCTCAGGTTAGATGTGATGGCTTTGAGCCGGGTGCATACGTCCAGGTTTCTTGCTCCATAGAATTCCACATAGTTCCAGACCTGAATCAGGAAATAAGCCACATGGTCGGGCTGTCCATTGTACCAAACTGTGAAGGGAGGCAGTGCTCAGTCCTCTTGCATTAAGATGTACCTGGGTGGCTGCCCCAATGCTGCCTGAGGTGTCTGAATGGGGAGGCCAGCTGCCACTAGGGTTGTGTGTTCTGGCTCCTGCATCCTGGATTTCTAGAGAGGAGGCTCCCTCTGGTTTCACCCGTTCATCCACTCCTCTGTCAACTGCTAACATTTTCAAGCTGCCAACCTCCTGGTGGGCTGCTACAGTAGAGAGCTGATTTAATGTCAACTGTCTAGTTGGCATTTCCAGAAAAAGAAACTCTTGAGACATGATTTTAACCAAGAGTATAATACTTTACTGAAAATTTACATTGGCACAGAAGAAAGCAAAACAGCTTTGGTTTTGCTGCTTGAAGGTTTGCTTAGTTAAATAATAGACTCCCTCTTTCCCGCCCACTGGGTGTTCACATTGTCCAATAGTAATATTTTTTCTTGCTATGGAAACAGTTCATTTCTCTTTAGGGCATACCCACCAGATATGGTAGTAAGTATGGGTGGGTATGCCCTAAAGCAAAAAAGTTTTGGCTTAAGATACATACATGGTTGGAAAAGATGACTAAAACACAGATAGAATTTAAACCAGAACTGTTTTTGTTAGGAATATTAGGAGCTAAGTACGAGAAGGAGAGTGAGTATTTAATATTACATGTATTGACAGCAGTGAGAATAGCATTTGCCCAATATTGGAAAAATGAAAACTTACTAGCTGAAGAGGTTTTAATTAAGAAAATTTTAGAATGTGCAGAAATGAATAGATTAACTTTAGAGATTAAAGAGAAAGAAGATTCAGTTTATTTTAAAACGTGGCATAAATTTTACCAATGGTTAGGAAAATGAAGTAGTGAGAAATGAATCTGATATGTTATTTTAAATATAAATTAGCAAGAAGAATGATATGTATTGACCAATTGATATTGTTTATGATTATTGTTTATCATATTTACTATAGCTATTTACTATTGTGTTAATTAGTGTTAACTGAGCATATGCACCTGGACAATAGTCTTTTTGCTAAAGTTTGAAAATGTTATTGGGGGGCAACCCCAATGTTGTTCCCAATCCCGTCCCAACCCCAATCCAGATCCTAACCCCACCCTGAACCTTAATCCCTATCCTGATCCACTTCCCTAACCCCAAAAAACTCAATAAAAACTTTTATTAAAAAAAAAGAAACAGTCCATTTCTCCTTTGAGTAGCCTTGGGCTCTTGGTTGCCTAGAAATCGTCTCTCCCACCTTTGCATTCCATTATCAAGATATGAGCTAAAGAAATAACCTAGATGAAAAGGCGAATCAGTCTTGACACCCATGCAACAGAGTACCAAATGCTCTTGAATTTTAGAAAATAGAAGGATGAAATTAATAAATCAATGAAAATGTGCACAAACAAAACTGCCTAATCAATATCAGTTTTTTTCTCACTAAGTGAAAAAAATGGAACATTATGTAGTTCTGTACATAATGTTACATTCTGTAACATCAGCATTGTATGATCTATATTATTCAAAATAATTTTATAATAATAATAATAATAGTAAAGTTGGAAGGGACCTTGGAGGTCATCTAGTCCAATTGTATTGTGTAAATATGTCCATTGATAATGAAACAACTGTTGATGAAATGTCAGCTCTAATTTTTCTTTTTTTCACTCATTCATTTGCAGCTCCAATGGATTATTTTAGAAGTGGCTGACTTCTGATAGCCAAGAACTGCGTAAAACATTTTTGAGAGCTACAGAATGAAAAGGGCTACAGCACAGAGGCTTTTTGTTAAAAAAAAAAATCCTGTGGAACACCTATTTTTACAGCTTATATTAGAATTTTCATCTATAATGCAACCTTCCCTAACTCAGCACATCAGAAAAACAAGCTAGCCATTTTTAGCAATCATGAGCACAAAAATGATACTCGGAAATTACATGGATTGTTTAAACCTGGCATTATACATTGTTAACCAAAGTTATTTGATGAGTTTTTGACTTTTTAGAAGAAAAAGCATTGGAAACATGATTAGAAACACATCTCAACTATGTATAATTCACAAAGCAAAATTAAATTCATAGTGACAAAAGCATACACACTTACTGTGGCTAATTCATCAAACTTTCCAAAGAGTTCATTCAGAAGCTTCACTAATTCTTGAGCAGTGCACTGAGATGCCAAACTGGTAAATCCCACAATGTCTGCAAATAATATACTGTAAAGTGAAAGGAAGAGTCAGAAATATTTTGCCAATGATTACATATTAATATTTTAAAGGAATTCATAGAGAAAATTGGGGAATGAATATAAAACAAAAATATATTATAATCCTCAATTTTTAATTTACTACAGAAAAGAATTACAAAAAACAATGTAAATACGCCAGAAAATTATGAAGATAATGAAATAATAATATTTATGTTGATGTATATTATTTGTACTGTATTTTCATGACTTTTCAGTGAATAACTGGGATATTGGATCAAAACATCGGCAAGTCTTGGCAGGGTAGTTGTGAAACTTCCTGCAAATTGGCAAGAAAGGATATGTGTGTGCATATATTAAAGCTGACCACAGAGAATTAGCAAATTCTGATGACTGAAAATTATTTTACACAGCCAACCTTTTCTTGGTTACAGTTTGAAAGGATGGAGTACTCAGTCAACAAGAGTGCTGGCAAAAGTTTGGATTGCAGATCTCAGCTCCATCAAAACTCTCAAAAAGCTGAACTAATATTGTTGAGTTAATTTGACCACCATGATTCTTCCTTCATATTTATCAGTTCCTGTGTACATTTGTATTATCCCTGTCCTCTACTTTGATTTTGATTTAGATGAAACCTATCTCTATAAATTCCAGTTCCAATTATATTCACCATACCTCGGTGCAAGTACTTTAAAAGAGGTGCTTTAAAACATATAGGAGCACACAGGAAGAACCTCTCTTCAACTAATTAAAGCAGCAATGTCTTTTACCAAGCTCATGTAGCTTCTTCCCTCTGTTTTACCATAGGTGTCTCTGCATGACCATGTGCTTTTTACCATGATATTTTACATATTTATTACTAATATTCTTATGTTGCTTCATTTAGTTCAATTAAAAATGATAAGATCATATCATAATGGCAATGCCATCCATCTGGGGCAGGTTGTAACTTAAGGTCCTCTTTAATCTCCTGTATTGCAAGCAAGATTAAGAAACGGTTCAGTATTTTACTTTTATTATTATTATTGTTAAAAAATAACGTAAAATCCTCAGTGGCCAAACCTGAGCCACAGGAAAATGGTTGAGAAAAATTACCTACCAGGAGAGTGTCCACTTATTTATTTATTTATTTTTTAATTGAAAGTTTATAAAATTTTACAATAAAATACTGTAGCAATTCTCCCTAACAAAGATAGTTGCAATTTTTTCCAATCATTCAAATCCTTCTGTATTTTAGACCATAATATTTCATAATTATTTTTATACAATTTTACATTAGAAGCAGTTATATAAACCCCCAAATATTTGACCTTTTTTACAACTTCGAAGTCTGTCAATTTAACCAACGTCTCCTTATCCAAATTAGTCATATTTTAAAGTAATATTTTAGTTTTATTATTATTGACTTTAAAACCAGAAACATGTCCAAATTGATTTATTAGCTGTAACAACTCCAATTTAGAATAAGTTGGTTGAGACAAAGTAACAACCAAATCATCTGCAAAAGCTCTTAATTTATAATCATTCTTATCAATCTTTATTCCCTTTATTTTAGGTGATTCACCAATTTTAATCAACAAAATTTCCAATGTTAAAACAAACAACAAAGGAGACAATGGACAACCTTGTCTTGTGCCCTTTTCAATTTGAAAAACCTCAGATAAACCTCCGTTAATTATAAGTTGAGCCGATTGTCTTTGGTAAATACCTTGAAGAGCTTGCAAAATTTTATCTCCAAAATTCATCTCTTCAACCAACCTTATCATAAATTGCCAATTAACCTGATCAAAGGCTTTCTCAGCATCTAAAAAAATCAATCCTGCAGAAATCTGATTATTTTTATCCAAATATTCTATTAAGTTAATAATTTGTCTAACATTATTCTTCATATATCTCCCAGTTATAAAACCTGTTTGATCAGTATGTATCACTTGGTTCAATACAATCATAAGTCTATTGGCTAAAATTTTTGAAAAAAAATTGTAATCTACATTCAAAAGAGATATAGGTCTATAATTTTTGGGTAAAGTAAGATCTTGATCCTCTTTTGGAATCAAAGATATAAAAGCCCTTCCCCAAGACGGAGGAGTCTCTAAACCCAATAATATATTATTAAAAAGTTCCTTTAAGGGCTCTATCATCTCATCACTTAAAGTCTTATAATAGATTGATGTCAATCCATCAGTACCAGGTGCTTTACCAGCTTTTAATTGTTTAATTGCCATGATAATTTCCTGTGCAGTGATAAATCCATTAATCGCATCTCTTTGATCATCTGATAACTTGGGAAAATGAGCATCTTGTAAATATTTATCTATATCTGAACTCTGTACCTTCTTACCCATATATAATTTTGTGTAAAAATCTAAAAAAGATTTTTTAATCAGTTCTTTCTGAAAAACCACTTTTCCATTATAATTTATTTTATCTATAATTCTCGACTTCTGTTTCTTCCTTAATTGATAAGCCAACCACCTCCCTGGCTTATCTGCATTACAAAATGTATTATGTTTCATATAAAGTAACTTAGTTGCAGCCTGATCAGCATTAACATATTAAACTGTGTTTTAAGCAAATTTATAGAAGCCTTTACATTCTTATCCAAAGGATTCAAAATTAATGCTTTTTCTTTTATTTTAATCTCATCTTCCAATTCCTTGCGCTTTTGCATCTGTTTTTGCCTATGAGCTTTATTCATTTGAATCAGAACCCCACGCATATAAGCCTTGCTAGCATCCCAAACCATTGCCATTGAGGTTCCCTTATGCATATTTAAAATAAAATATTCCTTTAAATACTCTTTAAGTTTCTGAACATTCGCTCTTGTCTAAATAAATTTTCATTCAACCTCCAAGATCTTCTCTCCTCTTTCTCAGCAACCAATTCCATCCATACAGGACTATGATCTGTCAATGTCCTTGGAAAAATCTTTACATTTTTTACCCTAAAATATAAATCCATTGTAATAAAAAAAATCAATTCTTGAAAACGATTGATGTCTATCAGAAAAAAAAGTAAAGTCTCTCTCTTCCATATTACGTTCCCGCCAAAAATCTCTCAATTCCAAATCCTCCTTCAAATAAAAAAAAGCCTTAGGTAGTTTGGCTTGCTTAAAAGAAGTAGAAAATCCTTTTTTATCTTTATGTGTATCCAAAACTCCATTCCAATCCCCCATCAAAATAACAGATCTGTAATCCAATGAAATCAATTTTTGATGAAGAAACCTATAAAACTGTTCTTGTTGTTGATTAGGGGCATACAAACCCACTATAAGCAATTTCTTACCGTACATTCCTACTTCAATCATAACATATCTCCCTTGAGGATCAGAATCTATTAATATAGCTGGTATATTTTTCTTAACATAAATAACAACACCCCCTTTTTTCCCAAGAGCAGATGATACAAAATGAAAACCCAATCGAGCATTAATCAAATATTTTTGATCCTTTGAAATAATATGGGTTTCCTGCAAACAAACGATGTCATTATTATGTTGCTTCAAATAATGAAATATTTTCTTCCTTTTCTGTGGAGAATTAAGGCCATTAACATTCCAAGTCAGGAGCTTTGCCATCTCCTCCATCCTTTAGCCTAGAGAAGACTGCTTGAAGATCTGCCATTGAAGATTGAACCAATGAAGATCTCTTAGGTCTTGCTCCTCCCACAGGCTCAGAGCAGATTCTTGTATAACTTCTTTAATTTCCTTCTTCTGTTGTTCCTTTTCTTTTCGTCTATGCGCTGCTCGAGTTATTCTCTGTTCTTTCATCTCAGACTGCTGTAACAACTCAGCCTGTAATCCAACTTTCATTGATACAGTATCTTCAGCCAACTGCTCTCCCTCCTTCATTTCCAAAGCTTTGAACATTATAGGTGGTGATGAGCGCGCTCCCAGGACCGAAATATAAAACTCTCTTGCCTTAGAAACAGTATTCAGTCTATAACGTGTCCCCGCGTAACTCACCACAATTCCAAATGGAATATCCCATCTGAATGGCATCTGTCGCTTTTTAAGTTCATCTGATAGAAAAGCAAAGTCCTTTCTCCTTCTTAAAATTTTTGATGGAATCTCCTTTAAAATTATAACATCCTGAGCAGCGATCTGGAATCTCTTGTTGTAAAATGCTTGTATAATTTCATTGCGTAAAGATCTTTTCCCAAAATAAATCACCACATCTCTTAGTAAATTTCTCTGTTTTGCAATCCAAGAATTAACTCTAAATATTTTTTCAATTTCTCTAAGTATCTCCTCTGGATCCCTCTCCAAAATCACAGTGATGTCATTTGCCACCACTTCTCTCAGATTTTCTTACATATTTTCCCGCAGACCCCTGATTCTCAAAGCGAACTCCATCTCTCTGTACTGAGACATTACAATTTCATCCTGTGAAATTTCCATCGTTTTCTCAACACTTTCAACCCTATCCTCCAATAAATCCACTTTGTCTACTACATCCTCAATACAAGAGTCCAGCTTTTCAACAACAGAAGCAAGTCCTTTTAAAGCCAAATCTATATCCTCCCTCAAGATGTTGTTTCTCTCTACTAAAAGCTCCTTCTTTTCTCCTCTAATTTGGCATACAATACTTCCCATGACTTCTTGAAGGTCTTTTACCATGAGTGGTGCAGGTGGAGAGGGTGGTGGTGATCTGGATTTGGATTGTTGCGCTGGTAATATTGCCGGAGAAGAAACCACCTTAGGCACAGCAGAGGTCGCTTGACGCTTAGAAGCCATTTTTTAAAAAGTTTTCCTCCTTCTTAAAAAGAGTCCAAAAAATCAAAAAAAAAGGAAAAAGAAAAAAACCCTTTTCTATCTATAAGAAAATATAATCTTCCTCTTACAAACACCCAAAATCCCCCCCCAAAAAATTTCTAAAACTATTATAACAAAAAAAAAGGAAATAAAAGAAAATTCCTTTCACTTTCCTTCCGTGCTTAAAAAAAAAGGGGGAGGAAAACCTCTCATCACCATTTTACTTTCCCTTGTTGTAAAAAAAAATATAATTCTTT